GAATGCGAACAACAGAGAATTTCTCACGAACCAAAAGGATTTCTACAGAAGGATGAAAGAAGGAAATACAGAAGTAAACAGTTTACTAGAGAAATCTACTTATGAAGATATGTAGAGTAAATATGGTCGACCAAAAGTCACTTTAACGCCAATGCACCTTGGCTAGCACAGGTCAGAAATGCGGCAGCACAGATCACGGAAATAAATACCGGTCAAATCACCCAAGATATTCTACACGACGTTGTACAGAAACTTTAAAATTGAAAATGACCTGCATCAGACGGTTTTCACAACTACTGGTTAAAAACATGCCTCTACGGAAAAATTATAAATCTCATAAACAACTATCTTAATAATTCCAACGAAATGCCGCACTTCCTGTGTAAGGACCTCACATATATGATGTCTAAAACCAGTTATACTACAGATCCTACTTAATATACACCAATCACTTGTCTTAATCATTTTTAAGTAGTCATAACAAATTATTTATCAATGGTGATCGAGCAACTCTGTGCAAGAAATTCTATCTCAGCCAAAGCTCAGAAAGGATGCACTAATTGCTCCCTGGGATATAAACAACATATTTTAATCCATAGTGAGGTCATGTCTCAAGCATGTAAGAAGAAACGCAACTTGTTCACCTGTTTCATTGATTACAGAAAGGCCTATGACATGGTTCCCCATTATTAACTCCTCTACGTGTCATTCGAAAATAGTGAATTTCCTCAAATCTATCATGGACAAATGGAAGACAACTATTCGCGTCACTTCAAAGAACGAAACAATGGTTACCAAAGAAATAAATATAGAGGTATGGCGATTCTAAATTGGAACGCCCACATGTCTAATCTTAATAAGAAGCTCACCAAATCTAGGTGTGCCCCAGTAGTGTAACGAAGTGAATGCCCGCCTGCACAACTTTTATGTATTATCCGATATATATTCCGATGTGGCGGACGAGTCTTGCGAGACGCAGTTTGCCGGAACGGGGTCCGCCGGTAATCACCAACCGACCTAGTCTCGGCCGGTGAGCGACCGGTGAGCACTGGCAACCGGGAGATCCCACCGGGCTGCGAAGAACGCTCTAGCGCATGGACCCCAGAGAAGGGAGGCGAGCGAGTGCTAGCCAAGAAAAATCGAGGAAAATACACACCTCTACTTTTTACCCTTTTCTGCTATTATTTTTCTGAGCTTTTGTACTGTTCCTGCATCACTTTCATCTCTGTTCCAAATGTCATTAGCATTGAAGCGGTTTATTTCGAAAATAGTGACTACCCTATGACGCGCTAAACATTTCAGTAGTTACCCTTAAACTACATCGTTCATATTCGACTTCCAAGGCGGCACTTTTGTTTTTTAACAAAGCTTCAATTCTTTTTAATCAGTTGGCCTCTAGCAATTCCCCACTACATTTTCTGAAATTAAAATGATTATTGTCAAACGGTATCGGGGCAAGTAGTGACACTGACACAACGTGCCCATTAGAACCTGTCACAATCAGCCCCAAGGCACACTAATATGAATTTCATTTTATTTAAGGTTATATTGTCATTCATTTATACCAAAAAACATCAAATTATAGCTTAAAAAGTAAAATTTTCAACGATAAGTAGATAAAAGTACCTCAAATTTATTGTCGCTGTTGTTGACTGCAAAACTCCTATTCATTATTACTTCACAACGCGTAAAACACAAAACATTCCTAAATAAGCAAATCAAGCACTCGTTGCCTGCAGCAACTCACAGAACACATTAAGGCAAAGGTATGAAACGTGAATGTAATCTACCACGAGCTGTGGTCTGTTGGATCGGTCAGAAATCACGATGTCACAACTTAGCCCGATCTCCCCTGTCTTTTGAACTGCATCATCGCGGCAAGATTTCGAGCTTCATTGCGTTATCCCCCCTCGTCTCTCTTCCTCACCTCACCACTCCCACACCACACTAAAAGGCACTCTTAACAGGCGGTGGACCGTCCACGACTGAGACCATTGCGGTGGAGATGTAGGGGAAGCAGCTGCTTGCGCATGACTAACAAGGTTTCAAACATTTTTAGGTTTATGTTTACCCCGCATCGCTTGCTTCAATTCTTATATTCTACGCGAGCGGCGGTATTTCGACTTCCCATCGGTTGTTTTTTTTTATTTTAAGATATCTTAAGTATTTTACCAACCATGAAAAGTCTTAATTCGAAATAACATCAAAACAAACTCAATGTTTTTTTTATTTAAAAAGTAAAAGATAAAAGGTAATCAAGCTGACGGAGAATGTAATACTTCATACATATGTAATACTTAAATGTTCACAGATACCACTTCCGCTAGTAGATAAACCAACCAATTCTGCTTTTACTTCCGTACAATTGACATTCTCAACACACGTAAAGAACATTGTACGAAATGTTTCTTACACCGTAGAGATAACGCTCTGGAATTATGTCTTACATGGTTCAACTCTGCATACGTTCGTCGTTCATATCAGTTCTGATAATGCAAACAATTTGGCAAGGCGTTGATGATTGCAGCCCATCCTGACATACATTTTTGTTTTCACACGCGGACAATTTCAAGGAATGCTATTTCCTTTAAGCTGGAGAGGGAAAGCTCTTTGTTTCCATGTGAAAAGTATTGCTCGGTGCTTCGAAAGACGTAATTTCGTTCGTGCGCTCAGTTTGTGGCCTTTCTGAGGCTGCCGATAGTGAAGCTGCTGCTGGTAGGGTCACGTCATTGGTTTAGACCAGGAGATTGTCGGTAGATCCTGTAGGAAGAGGAAAGAAGTGTTGGGAATGCTCTACCAATGATGCAGATTGTTAAAAGTGAAGGTTGGAAGTGATGGCGCACAAATTATCAGTTCGCTGCGGGGCGATGTATTCCAGAAGGTAGGTTGCGCACGTTGGTTATGATGGTGGCAGAGCAGCGCCTTTGGAGAGTATTAGAAATATTTGTCTTTTATTGAGGAACGTACGTTGAAGGATAGCCATCAGGATTATTTAGTGCTGGCGAGCCAGACGGTTGGTGACCGCATTTGTATTTTTCTTCATCCTGTTTCTTTCTTTACGACCAGCGCACTGTAAACTTTATGCCTGTCTTCCGCCCAGGGCAGTCCCCATCGGCGGGATGAGGGAACGGGTGACCGCACGTGTTCGGACGTCAAGGAGCAGTAGGAACCACACACTGACGCGACCGGGCGTCCTGGTTAGATAAATGTTTCCAGGCATCGTGGAGACGTAGGCCCCCGTTCCCCTTTCAAGTTTTGGAGGCGATTGCTGATTTCCACAAGCTCTTTTATTCTCTGGAACTGCAGCAGTCTTTGTCCAGAAGACGAGCGTTGTCCAAAAGAATAACATGTCCAATTTTAATGAGAGGTTTCCCATCGCAAATTTGTCACAATAGTCCCACCAGGTGGACGGTGGTTCCCAGTGGTATTACCGGATTGGCACCTGCACCTCATGAGCTATTATTCTAACTCCTGATTAGTTCCGAGGTCTTTTCAGGACTACCATTCTAGGTACGAAACGCGGCCTTTTGGCCCGCCCAATAACCATGAAACCTGGGTGGGACCGCCCCCTTAGCGAAGGCATCAGCGCCGACTGGTCGTATGTATGTCATCTATCCCAGATCTGAGACGGGAGTGCAGGTGAATACACGAGGGTTTCGAGAATGAACACGATTCAAATACCGGATTTGAAACTCGAGTAATGCTTGATTGGCCGATGATTAAGTCCGCTGACGTTATAAGGTAGGAAACTCTTTCAGCTAGGCCTAAGAATATATATTTTATAAACCCCCAGAGCACGTGTTCGCATGTTGTCAGAACCAAAGAAAGCTCTCGTGAATTGAAATTTACGTGAAAGAATCCTAAATAGCAGTATTATCAATAAATTACATTTATTTCTTGCTTGTTGGGCACTTAATACATAATTGAAGTCAATCGGTACTTACATAACATATTTACACACTAAAAATAATACATCATTTTTGCGTGTTATTTAGGGGACATGATACAAGAAGTTCACAAAAACAATAAGAACAAAGTTTTAAATTTAGTATCATGTTTAACTGTTCATTTGCTAATTGTCATTCCCTTTAACAAATATATAATTCAGAGGTTAAAAGAAAATACAGGTCACATTTACATGATATGGAGGAAGAATGAAGATTTCGGGTAGAGGGACCACCAACCATCTAAATGGAACAAAATAAAATCAAATGTATACCCATATGAGATGTATCATTAAACATGATTTCATTCTTCTTGTGGTATGTTTTATTTATTTACTAGTAAAATGTAATATGCATATAAAAATTTAATGGAAAATGGGCCTGGAAATGTAAATGCCACCCTTTCTTGTTTTTAGACTATACACGACTTCAATAATATTTTCTTAAATTTTATCAATTCATATATGTATACAAGGTTGCTCCTCAAGCATACAGTATATAGCTTACAAATTCTATACTTCACATTTTGATACCCTGTTATAGCTAGTTTTACACAGTCCCCAGATTCATACCAATTTTGTCATTTGGTGGTGCAACATAATTTCATAATACATTACCATAAAACAATCACGTACTCAGCAGCTGAGTGTACGTACAAGCAAGGGCAATAAAGGGGGAGGGCTTGGCGAGCACTTTCCTTTTAGGCAGGCATGTTTCAATACATATTCCCATTCCTTCTTTTGCACAGTTTTAATATTAATAGGAACTAATAAAAATATTTGTATATTATAACAGCATTTATAATAACTGGTAGTGAAATTTTCTGTAAAAGCACTTTTTGCCCTACATGCGCTTTCCCTTACAGATCCTGAAATTACATCACAGCAACACAACTTGTATTATATTAACATTTGTAATAGTTTACTGCAGTACTTCTATTTAAACCACAATCTATTATAAAGTGAACATTAAATATAACTTACAGGAATCTTAATTGTGTATGCAGATTTGTATGTTGAAAGATGTGGATAAAGAATGCAGTGAGTGAATACTATTCTTTATCCAAAGAGAGAATGATGTGGCTGTAAACAATGCAATGAGGTTTCACAGCCGCTGATTGCAAGTCCGCTATACACATTAGTTACCATTGTTTAGTATTAAAGTGGCTCTTTGAGGACTCAGGAATAATTAGTTGCGGAGAAAAAATTCTGTTCGGAAGAGGACAACAGCACAACCTGTCACAGCCCTTAATTGGACCTTAATCACATCACTTCGAATGGCGGACATAAACTTCACCCTGGGTTGTGGACGATATCTTGTATCGGTACAACATTTTGTGCGATTCTTTTAAACACTGTAACGAACGGAGAAAGGCAAAAAGACCTGTGATGATATTTGGTACAAACGACTTCATGTCAATATTTGAAGTTCCATTTGTCAGTTGTATATAGTAGAATCTGCCTACAGCTACAAAAATGTTTTTTCAAAAAGTAGCATAAATGCTGCTCACGAACCACAAATAAAATACTGTCGTATAACACTGGAATAAAAAATTCACCAAAATGTCTGCCATAACGTGGTATATTTAGACAGTTCAACACTTCTTTACATAACAAAAATATTTTTTTTAAAGTTACAAATGAATAGCAAATATTAAAAGGAGGGTGGCCTCTTCCTTGGAGCATTGCTGTCGCATTACGCTAGCTGCGTCGTAACGTGCCGTTAGCAGTGTCGCACCGAATATGAGAATTAAGTTGTACGGCAGAATGACAATGGTCCGAATTGCACGATCAAACGTTCGAATTTTTTCAATCAAAATCGAAACTATTTCATAATTTTTGTTCCCCACCCCACCACAGTTGACTATCTAACGAAACAATAGAAACTTCTAAAAATGTCGAAGGCAACATTGTTCTTTAAATTTCTGCACGCATTGGAAACTAAAAATAAAGTTTACACATAACTCTTCAAACAAAATCAACTGCATTTTATGGAAATGTTTATTGTTCCTTTTATTGAGTTTCAGTATGTGTTTAGTATCATTGTCATTCTTTCGAATGTTCATGGTCGATTTTAGTTTCCTGCTCGTTGTAAAACTCTTACATCTTGCGACAATAAAAAAAAAAGTTCACTTCGAATTGGGCCCAGTGCCATTTCACAGAGATCTTGGAAAACGATTAGTTAGAGGAAACGAGTAGCATCGTCACAGATTCTTCATGTACAATCCAGCCTTAGGCCAACAGACTAAGTCTTTTCCACGGGAACCATTCGCTTACACAGAAGATTTTCACGCAGAGCTTCGGCAGGAAGCTCAGCGCTCGGTGTTACTGAGAAAAAGTGGCCCTGAAAGGAAGGCGCGCATTTGAAAACCAAGAAATCTTATTTGACCAATAAGGGAACCCAAATAAATTCTTGAAGCCGAAAAGGACATAATGTACACTAATAACGTTGAATTGGCCCGTCACTGGCGAGCTAAAATTCTTTTGCCCCGGCCTTCTAGATTCGTATCTAGAAACCAATAAAGCAATGTTGCCAAATATTGCCCCAGTGCGACTCTCGAATAAGTGGGATCTATGATTACGAACTGTCATAAAGGTTCACTTATTGTAAGTACATGCTTATTACTTAAGCGTTCACTTATCGTATAAGTGTCGACTATGGTACGGCCATAGGACTAGTTAACGGACGTGAAGCAATGTTTCACCGCATACATTGGCAACAATTCGAGGACTAAATTACGATTGTAACATCAAATAGTTTACGTAACAAGGGCGTGAAACTTGTGATACACGCAAGAGTCGAGTTTGTCAAGGTGACGAGTGCGGGTATCGCCTCGCGCCCGTGTTGTGTATACTACTTTTTTAACACGCTGGGAGCGAAACGCAATGCATCAAGTAAAGGAATATAAATTAAATATCAAATAACTAAAATTTATTGTGCAAAAGTAAATGGATTCCAGTGTCTTAATACTATTGTTTGTAAATAATAAAGACTTCAAGACAATTGCGAATTGTTACAGATATTTCTCGCACGCTTTGAGGTGTTTCACACACTGTGGAAAAAAATTATGTTTCGCACACGGAAAACGGGCATGAGAACCTTTCGCGCTCAGCCTGTTAAAAAAGTATTTTATCAATACAATAATCGTTAGTAGTGGGTGATCGTAAGTGATGCATGCATTTTAAAGTCATTTTTATGAAGGTACACAGTCTAATGACCAGTGGGCCAAATTTCACCAATGCACATCCATCTGCGAATTTTCAGAAAGCGCACACCACACACAGACTGGTCTGAAGATGAATTAAGGGGTTGAGATTTCGTATACATCGATAATCTAACCATACATTCCGGCTGAATGTCGAAAAGTTGGAACATTTAATCGCATTAATTGAAAGGGATTGGTTAAGGGGTAAGGGATTTTGTTTTGGGCTCTTCTCCAAAAACGTCTTTATGAACACTTTATTCAGTTGGAAAACTTCCTTCATTGGCAATGTGTCCACAAATACAACAGCTTTGGCTGCGTAAAAATATGACAGCTGGCTCGCATGTTTACTCGATAACAATCCAACGTGTAGGATATCCTATAGAGACAAGCTATGTATCACAAGAAAACATTCAGTATCTGAAAAAAGGCCATGAATGAGCAATGGGAACGAACACAGGGATCGTTTAAGAACACTATATCATGCCCAGCATTAGAAAGTGCTCGAAACCGTAAGCGAACATCAGTTGATCATTTCTCATTAGAAGACTTGTGTATAATAAATCCTGTTGCCAACTAGTGCAACATAATATTTTAATAAAGTTATATTTATAATCAGTAGTTGGTGCATTATTAAATATTGCTATTATACATCATGATTCGTGAAATTAGCTCCTCAGTGTCGTATGTGATTATTCACCTTAATTTTTGAACAAAAATGGAGATCTTAATAATGCATTATGTTAATCGAACCTCGCAATAAATTCCTGTCAGATAACATTTCGAAATAACATAGGGATATACACAAAAAAAGACAGCAAAACACTTCAAAGGCATTCCATCATACAGCAAACAAAGAATTTCACAACGCACGGCACGGCAGGGCGAAGACGGAGCGAGAACGATCCCCAATGCAAAGGAAGTACAGCCTGCTAGAAAGTTAATCAGTTTGAAAGTCGATGGGGTGCCACGGCACGAAAATTCTCATTTGTTAAGCGAAAGTTCCACTAAGCTTGATTGCGAATAACTTAGGAATTATTAAGTACAGGTTGAAATAATTTTATAACATATTCCGCAGAAAAAAATGTAAATACACTCGGCGGATGTACTTAGTCAATATCAAGCAATATAGAAAAATCACTTTACAATGAATGAGACACCTTCACTTATTTTATTGATAGATACTGTACTTAAATTGTAAATAAACAAACACTCATATTCAAAATTTTCTTACATTCCATTTTTGTAATATTAACACCGCCATTGTACGCACAAGTATTCGCCGAAATAAATACAAATTACATATTAACCAACTTTAATAACATAGTTTTACCGATGTTTTTTTCTCAATACGAGAATAACACACTTGTTTGAGATCGTGATCATGTAAATCACACTGGCATTTCAATAAATAATTTTGCGAATAGAATTTGTGAACGTGTAATAATAATAAAACGAATCGTATTTGTGAACTTCCAATGCAAGATAACATATACAATATTCCATTAAACAAGCTTCTTGTAATAGAGAAGAAAAAACAGATCAAGAGTGACAGTTGTGTAAGTAAACAAAATTAATAACCTCATAAATCATTACCTCAGGACAAAAGGTTCCCCAATCTTTCTGCGGTAGGGAGTTTCCCCCTACAATATTTAATATACAAGTTCCAATGTGTTTAATGAGGTTTTTGTAGGTGGTTCTGTGTCATTTACAAAATCTATTTTACCACTTCATTTCGATCAATGTAATGAATTGTTTAACTTCAAATTTACAAATCAACTATATTCTGTTTTAGGTATATTAGATAAAATTTATTTATTGCGGTCCTTCACATATTTAGATTCATAAACTTTAAACATTAAATTGCAGAAGTGAACTAGAAATAATTTTACAGACCGAGCAAGCCCACACGTCACATTATGGAATCTAACATATTTCAATATATACTAACTGCATATGGAAAGGAACTAAACAGAAGTGAACCTTATAAGGCATTATGAGCTTAGAGTATTATTGTAATAAACGTGTAATAAAATTCAGTGTTTTGGATGTACCAAGAAACAAAACATCAAAAGTGGTCAACTTCTTGAACATCAGTGCACAAAAGGGAATAATACACAAATATACCAAGTGTTACACATCGGTATTACACATATTGCACTTGCGTATTTTTAATGTCTATGTTTTTTAGGGGACAATTTCTTAGAATCCTTATGGTGTTTAGAAGAAACCAATGGTTTACTACTACTGCTTCTGCTGCTACTCCTCCTTCTACTATGTTCTTTTCTCCGTTTTCTAAAAGGATGTACTTCTACAGTAGAACTTGAACTTCTAGAATACTTTTGTCCTGAGCTTTTTTCATCGGACTTTCTGGAGCTCTTGCTCTGAGTTTCATTATCACGGAAATTGACTAGAGTCTGTCTTTCATCTGGTATAGTTTTCTTATCAATTTCAATTCTATTTCTGAGGCTGTTTGCTTCTCTGAAGTCCGCTTCCAGTAATCTTCTCTTAGGGCTGTCCATTACAGAATCTGAATCAGCATCTCTTCGTCGTTTTGCCGACAGTGTACTGAGTAAAATATTCTGCAAAAATACTTTGTTGGTGGGCTTGAGGGGGCATTTTTGCCAGCCCAGAGCGCCATAAACAGATGCTCTAGCTGCTCCTCTTTTAGCTTCATTTAGAAGTTCCTGCTCTGCGATTCTGTAACAAAAAAAAGCGATATTTTCAATCAAACTTAGTTAAATTATTCATTTGCGATGTACTTTCAATGTTCTCCAGGTACGTATGTGTCAGGTGAATGTTGAGGAAGTGACAATAGAAAATACATAGTAAAATCAAACGTTACGTCATTTTAGGAATGCAGGGAGATTTTGTTCCCTAACATCTTCGATATCGGAATGGGATCATTACCCCTTCCACATTTTTAGCCCATTGAAGTGTCATGGCTATAGATCATTGGATTTCTCTCTGATAAACACGATAATCTGTTTAACAAATACAGTGTTAATTTAAGTAAGCAAAAATCTGTTCCTTATAATATTTGCAATAAAGAATATCTGTGCCATTTCTGTCTCAGCGTAAATCCCACACAAAGTCTTTTTAATTATCTATTTTTTTAAATTATCTTTTTCGTAGCAGCTTGTACATCTCTGACACTTTATGCGAATTTCCACGACTCGAAGCACTGTTGTATACTCTCATTAACGTCATTTCTCACGAGCGAGTGCACTTCAATACTGACGGTCTAAAATCGGAAACGACAGCAACGCGGCGCGATATGGAGGCCTACTGTAATTCGCACCCCAACTCCGTCAATTCACAAATTAACGGTTATCTTCGTTTGTATCCGAAAACTTTTAATAATAATAATAATTATTATTATTATAATAATAATAATAATAATAATAATAATAATAATCTGAACTTGAAAAAGCTTGATCCGCCTGTTCAACCAATCATTGAAACGGAAGAGAAGATAACCTTATGGAAAGCAAAGGCACTGCATGGAAGGTACCCTCACGAGCTGAGTAAACCAGAAGTCGACATCTCTGCGTCGCACGCATGGCTCCAGCACGGGGATCTCTTTCCGGAGACAGAAGCCTTCATGATAGCTATCCAGGACCAAGTGGTACCAACATTGAACTACAGAAAACACATTCTGAGAGATTCTACCATTCATTCCGACTCGTGTAGAAGATGTGAGGCTGCAAGCGAAACTATCCAACACGTGACAAGTGGATGTAGCAGCCACGCACAGGTGGAATACAAAAAGAGGCATGATGAAGTGGCGAAGCAGGTACACCAATTATTGGCGTTGAGAACGGGCTTACTCGCCACTTCCGTGCCGTATTATAAATATGTGCCTCAGAATGTGCTTGAAAGTAGTGAGCACACACTCTACTGGGATCGTTCCATTATCACTGACAGACATGTCGGCGGCAATAGACCAGATATAACGTACATTGATAGAAACCAACAGCAGGTTTTCCTTATCGATATATCAATACCCAATACCCACAACATATCGGGAAAATATCAAGAGAAGATCCAGAAGTATACCAATCTCGCCTATGAAGGCGCAACTCAGTGGAACTTCAGTAAAGTGACGACTGTGCCTATAATAATATCAGCTACGGGAGTGATCCCGAAAATGACACTTCGGGCACTGGAGTGTCTTCACTTGGATACCAGAAATGTATATAATATGCAAAAGACAGTAATTTTGAATACATGCCGTATTGTCAGAAGCCATCTGAACCTTCAGTAAAGCAACCACACACCTGGTCATCATACCTGTGTGTGGTTGACATACCGACCAGTAGATACTGTGAATAATGTAAGACAATAATAATAATAATAATAATAATAATAATAATAATAATAATAATAATAATCAAGAAACGACTGTGAAGAAACGGAATGATTCTCAAAATGTCGGGAAATATTTTGTTAATATAATAGGGGAGAAAATACTTTTTTCATCTGAAATGACTGTGTGCACGTTTACATTTATACCACCCAGTTATTTTCTAAGAATTGCCCTAACTTAATATTAATTTTGGAGCCTTGGCCACTTGAAAACTTCAGGAGGTTCCCGGAGTGCTCGCTGAATACTTTAATAAGTTTTCCTTGTATTTTCCCTGTGGTTTCCAATTTCTCAGCTTTGAAACCCCTACGAGCCTCGACCAAAATAACCTAGAAGAGTCGCCGCAAAGACAAGATTAATTTTGCCTCTCAGACAGCTCAAATGGATATTCAGTTCCCGAATTAGTTTGAATGTTTAGAATTTTGAGCTTTTGCAATTTTCGAAAATTCTTAAATTTGACCGAAAATGAGACCTACGCCATTTGGTTCAACTGCCATTGCCCTTTCCGAAAGCAAAGTTTATTTTTATGGAGCAATTTGGATATAAATTTTTTTTATGGAGCAATTTTTTTTGGAGGGGGGGATTTTGAAGCATTGAGTTAAGTTCCCAAAATAAACACTAGGTGCTAAAACTGCACACACTTTCATTTTTATTAGCAATTTTCGATCATTCAGATAGTTCAACGAACAAGAGATGTGTGCCATTCTTTTAAGGGGGATCACTCACCTCCAGAGGAAACATGCACTATACTTACGGGACTAATGTCCTTAGCCATTGACGCGCCCGGAATCACTAACAATCACTTCTGTATATGGAGTCACTCTTGTCAAAACGACTCTCCTTGAAACAAGCAAACCATTTTCCTGCTGTGCTCCGACTACTTTTTGGAGGTTTTCCTTCTAAGTTCTCGAATACACATAATTTTTATTTCACCAATTATAATTATTTCACATTTTTTTCTGCGATCCATTTTCATCTCTTAATATTAACACACTGCACGATCGACTACATTACGTACCTATTGTCTTTACCACTGCAATTACATCTTCACTAACATCCACCAACAAAAATCAACAGAATACCCATCAAGATGAAATTCAACACAGGGCTTCTCGTGATCATTCGTGTATTGATTTTGATAGTCCCTTCTGCTGATAACGTCGACTTCAAAACAAACAGCATAAACACAAAATTGATGTATCCAAAGACGATAGAAAATAATATCATTTTTCTCAAAACTTTGTCCCTGAAGTCGTTAATTGGACTCCCAAGAACGAAAATATCCCAGCGACTATGCATTCTAATGCACAAATTAAAAATTCACACATTTTCGTTGAACATTTTTTAAAAAGGGACACATTTTAACGTATTGATAAAAAGAAAACATTTCCCCCATATGAAGTAACACAAATTAGCTCTTTTTTTTTTTTTTTTTTTCAAAATTATTCCACTAATTTCTGGATGTTTTAACGGTTCAAATAGTCAGTCCGCAGAAATTCGTTTTCATTATTTTATTTAAAAAGCAACTGAATGATACATGTTTCATTATTACTACATTGTTCCACGTAATTTTCTCTTCCGAAACTATATTTTTTCTGCATTATTTCACAACAATCGATTTGGCACAACAAGATTCTTCCATAAGAATAACATTGCCCGTAAGAGACCGTTGTGCCTTCTCGACGTGAAAATTAGTGTAGACATCACCGCAACCTTCGTCCTCAATTGACCTCAAAAAGAAAAATGCCGGAAATATTCGAACCTCAAATCCTCTATCCTAGTTCATTATTTATATTATAAATGCCCAAGTCTTTTCGGCTACCTTAATTTCATACGAGATTATATTTAATGCAGCCTTTAACGTTTCTCAGTAATTGCAGCTACACGGAAAGGCATGTCTTATAAATTTTGATTTTTGTGTCTATTCGTGATTTGTTACGGAGGATTCTATTTACGAACCCACATACAGATTGGAATCTATTCGTTTTATTTTCAATGTCCATATCGGCGTCGTAACAGATTTCACATCCAAGATAATTAAAATGAGGATTTATCTATAGGAGTATCATCGATAACAATTTTTCGAGCAGATGGGTTGTTTTCCATAATGGGCTACGACTTCAGTTTTCCATTTGGAGACTTCTCTTAGCACCGAAAGTTATTTCGATGTGTTAATCTGCCATCCTCCTCTAATAAGGGAACTTTTCTGAGGCGAAAGCATTACTGATGAACAAGAGGTGGCAATAACACAATTGTTTTGCCATTGTCAATGCCATTTTAAAAGATTATGCGCGAGCAGTCCAAAATGGGAAGGGCAAGGATCTCTCTCCTCGTACAGCTAGGGTTATTAAGACTCCCATTGAAGATCGCTACATACAAAGGCAATGTTAAGAGACTATCAGAAAGTCAAATATCCTTTAGTAGAATCTATATTGCAATGACAAAATGAAACACGAGTAGGAAAATGTGGGAGAGAACCTAAGCTCTTTCTTCGAAGCGTCAGAATTTTTTTTTTTAAAGCTCTGAACAGAAAAACTATTTCTAAAGAATTGAGTAACATGGTGACCGGAGCAACTGGAAACAAAAATCACATGCTCAAGAATATAGCCGAAATTACACATGCAATGCCAAAGAAACGCGTCGGATAGGTACGAGGTCTCAAACACTGGAGTGTGGTAACTGAAATAAAATGTTTGTGTTTCGCTATTTCGAACTAACCTTCCAGATATGTTCAACGTCGATCTGTCGAGGCGATCGAACAAGAATGTGTACAAAAACACTTAAGCAACAAACATCAGTTTTAGTGTGGTACGTAATGTCTTCCATGGGTGCTGGGAGACTCTCCATTAAACACGGAACGATGAAGCAAGACCATTCTTGGATGTCCTTACGGCAGAACCACTGCCAGACAGCAACCTGACTTGATGGCGACTCTTACGTGTTTACGTATATGGCGCACCGTGCCATTAAGATAAAACCGACAAAAAGTTCCATTGAGAACGATATTGAGAGTACTTCCATGGCCTGGAAAAGACCTGACTTACACCCCATAGAAAATCTTTGGCGCATCATTAAGAATTAGCTGAAAAAGAACATATCAACCAGACCTCGGTTGATGAGGAAATCAATAAATTATATTTTAGCGCCGATTTGGACCTTATGTACATTAATCTCGTGGAAAACGTGTCACGAAGATTGAACGCCTTTAAAAATAATAAACCATTCCTTAAGAAATATCGATTGTTTGTTCTCGCAAACCAAATTAGTATGTAGTTTGTTACATTATTCGACTATTTTATTTAAACCTATGTATTATTTATTGGATTTGAGAAAA